TGAAAAAAGTAACATTCGATTACTACGAATCGAATATCTTCAAAAAATAATTAATTATAGACAAAAAAGAAGACCGAATCGACCGAGTTGTAAACTACGCCGATGAGCCCTATGTCGACTCATCACGATGATAGCGACTCGGGTGATGAAAACAGTGATGATGATGATGGTCAAGATTATGATAACGAAAAAAAAATTACAAATACCAGCTTCGCTTCAACTGAACCAAGACCTGGCAACAGCTCTAGTTTTGACTTAATAGAAGGAATATCTATTTTACCCCAAGATTAAATTATTACAATTATTAACCTATATGTTTTGTTGATGTTCTAATAAATATATAAATAAATACATATGTTGATTTTAATAATTTAATAGCATTATGACGCAGAGTAAGTAATGTTTTTGCACGTGAGTGTACCATGCGCAAACTTACCCCCACTACGTCAACAAATGCTCAAGAAGTTTGCCGGTTATTATAACAAAGTAAAAGGTGCAATAGCTTCTCTGTACGATTGCTCCGATTCACGCAAAAGGAGCTACAAATTGCTTTTCAATTCGTACTGAATCTGTTTAGATTGAACTCTCTTTGGATTTATTTGGACGTTTTGTCTGATCGAAATGAAAAAATAAAGCATTGAACTCGTTTGAGAATAATCTATTGAGAATTTTAATTTTGTCTGAGTTTGAAGATGACACTGAAAGTTGAGTTTAAAAAAATTGTAATAACGTTTTTTTTTTAAATGGCCAATTACGCCTAATATACCAGACACGCACTAGTATTATAAAAGGCTAAGTAGCAGTAATTACTCAAAAGTGTATGTATTTTTGCGGGTTTTTACAAAATTAGGTTTTTTCTTAGAAGTCATTCGTGAACATGTTTTAAATGTAATCATATTTTTGAAGACCAGCAGAGTCGCACCACGATGTAATAACAATAAAGAAATATATAACTGGGAACAAATCACGCACGGTTATGCGGCCCTAGATTTGATTTTTGCACAATTTGAATTGAATTCTGAATTTGCGCTCAATTCGATGCGCACGATTCAAAAATCAACAGCGTCGAAAAGTGAACTTGCTACTTGGTTTAAGCGACATTTTGCAGCTTAAAAGAAGAGCCATTTAAAGTTTAAAAATTTGGATAAAATATAACATAAAAGCTGGGAGAGAAAAGAAACGGGACTATCATCGGTGCGCTCTCTCAATTATATGCAAATATTTTGAACTGATGCATCAGTTGCAGATAGCGTAAATATACAAATTAGAATAATGAGAAATATATATATATAATACATTTCTAAAATTTAAAGTCAGCTTTTCTGAAAACTATAACATACAATGTGAAGTCAATTATAAAATGAAACTAGCTAATATCTAGAAATTAAGATAAAAATAAATTTAAGGTGCCTCAAGTGACATTGAAATGGTAAAAAATTAACCCGCCAAACAATAATCAATGTATGTACTTAATACATTTTATAAGTGACTGATTAAAATAAAACGCCAATGAACATAGAAAATGTAATTTTGGAATGAATGAATTTATAATTTTTCGGAATAATCTTTGAGAATACGAGATGCATTATTAATGTGCTTTAGAAATCCTACTCAAATAACATTGAAAGTTCATTGTTAATGAACAAGTTTATTTAATTTTGCTTATTAAAATTTCCACTCGATAGAAACGAAAACTAAATCGTATTGCTACACGTGTTACGTCGCAAGGCTAATTTATATCACAACAATTCATTCATTCGTATTACTCACACACACTATATACTATATATAGTACATATATTTATATTACAGTACACACATATACTCTATTCATTTCAAATCGAACGATACGACTGTAATAACAAATTATATCATTCAACTCAGTACAGTGCTAGGTAGCGTAAGTAAGAATGAGGTCGGTTCTAGGATTGTGCCTTATATTTCTCGCGAATCAAGTCCAAGGCTATACAGTGTTAGTGATTACTGCCTTGCCGTTCAGGAGTCTTAATATCCTCGGAGCTAGTGTTGTTAGCCATCTCCTTAATGCCGGACATGAGGTATTGGGTTTATTTATTTATTTATTTGTGATACTATAATGACGATTTGAAGTGAGTGCAATTGCAAATCTTCACGGTGCTTTTGAAGTGGTATTAGCTTGGGTTTTTATTCTATTAATAGTTTGTATCGAACCGGAAGACGTAGCGTGGGTATGCCTCGTAATATCAATCGAAACGCACTTAAAGGTCGCGGGGCTTCCCTGGATGTAGGCAATATAAGACGTACATTATTATATATCGTTTTGTTAACCTTGAGTAAGAGCTATGTCCAACAGACATCTGTCCTACTACTAATGGTCAACCTCCCGTTGATCTAAAAATCATTTAAACTCAATAAATTCACTAGTCTGTCTATTCAGATAGTAAAGTTGAGCATAGGCAATTCGGAGTACTTCAGGATTAGGTTTTTTTATATTATGTAATTTGTACATAGTACCAATTCTATCTGAAGAAAATTCTTATCTTTTATTTTGATATGAATTATCTTCTTAACCTACAATATGTTTCTGTACATAGTTAGATAACTACGTCATCTTACATCCGATTGTCAGTCAGTGCGTCCAATACAATAGAACAGCGAATTAAATTAGATTAAGGCCATTCAATTGGTCGTGGCCTGATAGTTTAAAAGGACAGTGTCCTTCACAACAAACAAATCCAGTACTATGATTTGATTCTGGACAATAAACAATTTATATTTTTTCAAAATAACTAAATAAATAATAATACAAATAAATAACTACACATGTCTAACACCTAAATATTTGCTTTAAGTTAACGAATAATTACGCGGTCTATGGTTTCGAACATAACGTATTTACACGAAAATTCCAAAAATTTAAACTATTTTTACATGCTTCACTTGTATGTATGTTTGTAGCTGACTTCTTTAGACGCGATTTTGACCCACTTTAAACGGCCAGTTTTCATTCAAACTTTGTGGATTTATCGAGGACCGATGACAATACACTAATTTGATAAAATTATTCCATTATTCAATTTGCAAAATAAGATTTTTTCCAATTTATATAATTTTTATCGATAGTCGATAAGGCAGGAATTGATGTTCAAGTACTTCAAAGTTTTAAAAATACGCTTTTATAGAAAATTTATCTAAAAAATGAAAAATAAATAATAGTTTAAAAAAACTAAAAAACACGCTATATAAAATTCAACTAGAAAATAGAAAATAAATTTTAATAAATTTAAATTGAAAATAGTGTAAAAAAATATATATTTTATTTTAAAAAAAGCGTGGGGTGCTTTTTAAGATATTATTGAAATAATAATTCTTCTACTCATATCTGTCAGAAAAATATTTATAACTAATAACACCATGCATGCACCCTACGCTTTTTTTACAATAATCTAAATATATTTTTTTACACTATTTTCAATTTAAATTTATTAAAATTTATTTTCTATTTTTTAGTTGAATTTTATATAAAGCGTGTTTTTTAGTTTTTTTAAACTATTATTTATTTTTTCCCCTATCCATGCTGATAGCCTTGAGAGGCTATTTCAACAAATCCTTGTCGTGTAGGAGACCTCACGGTGCTCTAACCGGGAGTGTTGCTAACACTGGCTCTAGCAAGTGCAATGCTTCGCAGAATCTACCGGATCGGATACGCGACCCACTGAGAAAATCCGACGAGAAACTCAGTGGGCTGTGTCGGTGGGTTAATTCACTCATCGATCCCTTCGTAGCAAGCGACGGGTTCGACGAGGACGGTGACCGGAAGCTCCGATAACGACCCATAAGGTGCACTTGTATGCCCATCTAGAGCAATAAGAAGAATCGTGAAAAAAGCAGCTTATAAGCTATCTAATATGAGTATTCATGATCACAGCTCAAGCAACAAAGCCAATAGTAAGAATATCTTAACTCACGACTGCATTTTGCGGTAATTTTCCAGGTAACTTACATAACAACATCTCCTCTTAAGGAGAAACCGAAGAAAAACTACCGAGAAATAGACGTCAGTGCAAATAACGAAATCTTTAAAGGTAGGTAAACATGTCTACTTTTATCCTTTCCCATTATCATTCCAATTTTACAAGTATAAAATTAAGATTGATAAAGCAATTTTTATACCCTTAATGGAATATTATTCCAAAATTTTTTAGTTAAATGTCTATAATGTGAAAAAAAGTTTCACTTTTAAATTGGTTTCACAAAACCACAAAATCCTTTTTTTTAATTAATAGATACGGATATGCAACCAGGACTTCCTTGAATTGTAAAGTGGTAGATTTTTCACCACAAAATAAAGTGAAAAACTCACAATAGTTTTTGGTTAAATCAAATAAAATAAATCTGCCTATTTCTGCCGTGAAGCAGTAATGCGTTTCGGTTTGAAGGGTGGGGCAGACGTTATAACTATACTGAGATCTTAGAACTCATATCGCAAGGTGAGTGGCGGCATTTACGTTGTAGATGTCTATGGTCTCCTGTAACCACTTATCACTAGGTGGGTCATGAGCTAGTTTTAGTAGGCCCGGTTCCCTTGCCTAGCTTAGGTTCTCGAATTAATTCTAATAGATAATGACCGAGCTTTGCTGGTTTTTTTTAAATAAATTGTGTGTTTTAGAAATTATATTTAAATACGAATTACATATTGATAAAATGATGAAATATGAATAATATTTTTCGATCTTACTAACAGCATAAGAAAAAAATATGAGCTGGTTATTTAATGAAAAAATAAAAATTATCGATAAAGTTGATTATTGAAAACACGAATAAAACAACATTTTCTGCAAATGAATCGTAGCTAGATCGATGATTTATCGCCCCCGAAATCCCCTGTATACTAAATTTTATGAAAATCGTTGGAGCCGTTTCCGAGATTCATACAAGAATTGCTCGTTTAAAGATATAAGATAAGATATATGTCAAGGAATTACGTCGCGTTTGATATACAAGTATCGACTACAAGTTTAGTGAAGTAATGACGTATGGTGACATTTGAATGTAAAATACTAAGCTCTACCATAATTATTCATTAAATAAATTGCCTCTCTGTCTCAGATGAGCTAAGAATAGTATTTTATCTTCATAAACAAAAACATTCACTTGATTTTAAAATACTCCGTGATTCGTAACGTCTTGTTTTGGTATTTATGACAGTTTTTGTGTCTACTTCAATAAAAATCTTTAACTTCTTAGGTGAAGAAATGATTGATATAGCCTGTTTAATGGATAATAAAGTCGAAATGAATAACATCTTTGATCTACAAAATATTACTATCGCAAACGCTTTGATGACATTCGAAAACGAAGACGTAAAGAAGTTAATACAAAACACGAATGAAAGTTTTGATGTGGTCATTGCAGATTACATAGATACAGAAGTTTATGCCGCGTAAGTATATTTACTATAACTCATGTCTAAGTGCTCAATGTAAGTAAATATAATTATCGAAATGGTTTACAGGAAATATAAAATAAATAAAAAAAGTTTGTTAAAAGCTAGCATTATTAAATCATACAGCTCAAACTTATAATCCTAAGCTTTTTTTTCCCCCTACCTATGCTGATAGCCTTTGAGAAGCAATAAGGAAAACTCTCTAATCGACACTAACCCCCGTATCTTTAGTCGTTTACACGAGCTTAACTCGACTCGACTCAACCTCCAACGCGCGTTTTGGTATGCATAGTCGTAAAAATAAACTCCACTCAAACGTCATTGGAAAATTTCCTAACCGGAGTGGAGTAGACATTTGAAACTCCTTATTTTATTTACCTACATAAGAGTCATATTTTGCTTACTACCTAATAAATAAAGTCAATGCGATTATAAGTTTTATTTATATAATAATAAACTGGTGGTTGTGGAAAAGCACTTCAAGAACACGATGCAATCAAAATCACACAAAAACGACGAATAAAAATACAAAGCCGGGTCCGAAATCTAAAATAATAATGGGTTTGAAAATAAATAATACACTTTCAAATTTACCGCACGCACACATATTTACCAATAACTCGAGGACAGTTGAGGAATATTGTAATAGTCGACTAAAAATACCAAGCTCGAGTAAGTTTGGGAGGAATGCTCGAGCATCATCGGATGAGTTAAGAGTGGAGGACTATTTTACGAAACGTCTAAAGATACGGGCATGACCTTTTATCTTTTGAATAAGGAAAAATATTACGTCATGATTATGTCAAAACTTTCCTGATTCTATTATAATTTACAGTTACCTTAGCTACCTTACACAACGTTAAGTTTGATCTCGTAAATAATGAAGGCATGTAATGTCAGTTTCTCAGCACTGTATGGATGTCCTTTGATATGGCTGTCTTCGCTGAGGACTAATTGGCAGACTCTACGTTTGATCGACGAACCAACAAATCCCGCTTATACAGTCAGCTCGATATCAATGAACTATCCGCCTTTGAACTTTAAACAGCGAATTGAGGAACTGTGGGCCCAGTGGAAATGGCAAATAGTTAAAAGGTAACCGCTATTTAAACTTTGTTATTGACTAGTTCAATCCTATATTTCAAAGAACGCAGCAGTATGAATTATAAGTTATTATGAGTAGTAGTATCTATGAGTCGTCTGCTTCTATGACCACACCAGTATAATTAACTATTTAAATAAATGTTACATAAAATATAATGTTTTTTGCAGACTCTATATTGTTTCACAAGAGGAAAAGATTTATGACAATCATTTCGTACCTTTTATAAGGAAAAGAGGTATTAAGCCGCCAAATTATGAAGACCTGATCTATAATGCTTCGCTGGTGCTAGCAAACGATCACCACTCATTGGAAAATTTGCCTAAAACACCACAAAATTTTAAACAAGTTGGAGGCTTTCATATAAGTAGTGTTGTGAAGCCTTTGGATAAGGTAGCTCAAACTAATTTTAATTCTATCACACTGACCCCACTACTTTTTATATTTTGGCCGGAAGGACTTATGTACCTACATAATAGAAGTCTGTTTAGCTTTCATTCAAAAGATACAAGCTTTTGAAGTTGTCGGATTGTTGACGGCTCGCAAACCTTTCCAACTTTACCAGGACGGGTGAGTGAATAGAGGCAACGCCACGAAGGGTGGAGTTTCTTAAAAACTACCTGAGTGCAATCGAGGGAACCGTGAACAGCCGGCGATAATCTCAGCTAGTTGATTTTATGGTCTAAGTATCACATCGAACTCTTGGACCAGGGCGCGTCAAAGGTGGAAGAAACAAATATGCGTCCGTTGTTTGTTCAGACTACAACCACTAATTTAATAAAATAAAACAATGCATTACGGCCAAGTATATCTCAGAATGAAATGCGTCATAAATTTTATCCAAACAGACTCATTCTTCAATTTACAATATTGGAAATTCCTTAGTGTATAATTTATGACGCAGCCAATATTCAAGTAGCATCCTGTTTGACATGAGGATGATGACATCTTTAAATATCATCAATCCTAACTTAACAGGGTTTGGAAATTAGTGCATTTTGTTCCCAATTTTTTTCCGGCAATAAATAGCCGGATGGATGCAGAGCAGGACTGATGGTTGTCGCAAGCCTTATGAAAAGTCTATGTCCATGTGTGGACATCTGAGAGCTGATAGATGACATAATAAATAAATTATCAATATCTTTGAATGCTTTTAAAAATAAAATCATACATATCCTCGTTTGTCAAGATTCCGAGCTCTACTTTTTATTTTCTTGTATTTATGTCTGGTACCAACAAGACATGTTTGTTAACCTTTTTATTAACAGGTACTACAAAACATAATGGACTCCTCGAAAGACGGAGTTGTCTACTTCAGTATGGGATCGGCCTGGCAAAGCAAAGACATACCAGAGCACATCGTGAATGAATTGCTCAAAGTATTCGGGAATCTTAAACAAACGGTTATATGGAAATTTGAAAAAAATCTGAACGATTTACCAAAGAATGTTCACATTGTTCAGTGGGCACCACAAACAAGCATTTTAGGTAGCGTTTTTTCCCGCCACAGGCGAAGATATTTATTATACAAATTGATGATTAACAAGATTTACGGAACAGTTACACCAACTTCACCTAGAATTATAACTGAGCAGATTATACAGAAACCACCCAACGCGACTTTACCCTCAATAATGATTTTAATAATACTTTATTATTTAAAATATTATTACTTCATTGCATTTGTGCATAGTTTACCAATTCGCATATTTCTGTTGCGAAAAAGTCTGGTCATAATCATCAACGAATACCCATTGATTGTCTTCCAGTGCACTTCAACTACTGTCCACGATGCGCTATGCGTTTTACGGTCTGGTATTTTTTGGACCTCTTGGACGTCTGCAATTTTATTGATGCCCATACACTTTCATGCATGTCCATTAAATGACTTTCCATTTACAGCTCATCCAAATTGCCTCCTATTTATATCGCACGGTGGACTTCTATCATCGACAGAAGCTATACATTTCGGGGTGCCCATTATAGGAATACCTATTTTTTACGACCAATTTGTCAACATCCAGAAAGCCGTGATTTCTGGTTATGGTATACAAATTAAATTGAACTACGAGCTCCCAAAAAGCTTAGAGAAGGCTCTTGGAGAAATGCTAAGCGATAAGAAGTAAGTGCTTTTTTATTGCTCAGATGGGTGGACGAGCTCACAGTCCACTTGGTGTTACCGGAACCCATAAGCATCTACAACGTGAATGCCGCCACCCACCTTGAGACATCTCGACAAAGAGTTCGCCGTGCAACCTAACCCATGAATCAGCTCGCTGAGTTTCTCGCCGGATCTTCTCAGCGGGTCGCGATTCCGATCCGGTAGTAGATTCATTCGCGAAGCAGCTACTCTTGAGCTGTTAGGTCTCCTTCGGAGGCGCTCGGGTAGCTGTTAGCAAATCCCACCCCTCCTGGCTGAGCCTTTGCTCGCCCACGTGTCCTGGTGAAACTGGAAAGGCCTCCGGTCCACCAGTAATCTTTCAATCATAAAAAAAAAAAAAAACCTTGTGACATGAATTCTAAGGTCTTAGTTTTTACAGTACCTCGGCTACCCCACCCTTCTTCAAACCGAAACGCGATACTGCTTCACTGTAGAAATAAGCATGTTAGTGGTAACTACCCGTGCGGACTCACAAAACGTCCTAACACCAGAAAGCCACCAGTTATATCATATGGACTTTAAAGTGTGGTATTTTTTATTGAAAGAATGATGTTAAGCAACAACATAAACTTCAGCGATACTAGAGCCTAATTTACGCTGCAACCTACTCCTAAGATTCCTCCTCATCAGCGATCTATGGATGAGCGCATCTGTTCCATCTCAGGAATATTATATTTAACTGATTACGGGTTCTTGAGTACTTCTGCCTAATTTTTTCTGTTATTTCAATATAAGAGACTGAGCTCATGCTCCAATAAATACGAAAACTGTTGAGTACTTGTAGGGCGCCATTGAATAATTTTATATAACCGTTTTCATTTTAATCTAGATACCGAGAAAAAGCAAAACAGCTTTCTTTGATCTTCCATGATCGGCCGGTGTCTCCGGGTGCCGAGCTGGTCCACTGGGTGGAGCACGTCGTCAAGACTAGAGGAGCTCTCCATCTGCGCTCACCAGCACTGCACGTGCCTTTCTACCAGAAGCTGTACTTAGATCTGCTGGCAGCTATTGCAATGACATTGCTTATGATCAAATTGGTTATTGAAAAAACTCTCTCAAGTTTCTATAAGAAGACATTAAAACGGAAAGAAGATTAAATGATACCATTCAACTTTAATAACATTTCGTACAAGGCAATACAATTATTATTATTGATATTGTTGATTTGCGATCGATTTAGATCTGAATTAATGACGCCACCAACTTCATTATTTATTTATTATTTTCTTCAGTCATTGATGATGTTTGGAATTTTAGAAGCGCTCTCGCCAAACCATTTGAACAAATATTAAATAAGTTTTATTTTATTTTTGATAAATGCTTCAACAGTTCACATATAAATCGATTACATCATACTTAAAATAACCTAGATTATATAGAATATTATAGTGATAAGCTGTAATATACTTTTTGACTACAAAAGCAAACAATGTTGTCATGTGTTTTAAAAGTAACTAGAGGTCCCGCAGTAGTCGAAATTCGACTATAATTAATTGGAATTGTAAGTTTGTACACTATTATGATTGTATTTTATACTTCTATAATCACAAATGTCGCCAAGACTACACTATAAAAAATATTAAAAAAGACAAACAATATTTAATGAAATCTCAATTTGAGAACAGACGTCAAGAACAAAAGTTTGACAATAAATAGTATGCATGCGTGTGTGCGTCAAATACACGGTATGTAGTGTGTGTAATGTTTTCTTTATTGATTTAAAGTATCTTTTATGCATTATTTTAAAAAAATATTATTATTGTGCACTTCTTCTCTATATTCTCTATAAGTGTGGAGAATTTCATACTCCTCCGTCCACGCAATTTTCGTAAAAAGGGATACAAAATTTTTGCTTCACGTATTAATATATAGATATGTTATTGGATGACGTAAATAAAACATTTGTTGTTACATCATATAATTAATTGACTGACTCGGTGCTAAAGTCATTAGCGCCCCTGACTGTTGCGCCCAGGGTCGTAGGTTCGATTCCAACGTCGGGCAAATATTCGTGTGATGAACATGTTTGTTAGCTCTCTGTATTTTTTTTATTGCTTAGGTGGGTGGATGAGCTCTCAGCCCACCTGGCGTTAACTGGTTACTGGAACCCATAGACATCTGCAACTGCATCTGGCTGCCCCACCCTTCAAACCGAAACGCATTACTGCTTCACGGCAGAAATGGGCAGGGTGTTGGCACCTACCCGCGCGGCCTCGCAAGAGGTCCTACCACCAGTAATTACGCAAATTATAATTTTGTGTCTTTGATTTTTATTACACAATGTTATTCCTTCACTGTGGAAGTCAATCGTGAACATTCGTTGAGTACGTATTTCATTAGGAAAATTGGTAGCCGCCTGCGGGATTCGAACACCGGTGCATCGCTCAACACGAATGCACCGGACGACTTTATCCTTTAGGCCGTCTGGGTGTGTATTATCTATATATCTGTTTATTTCAACGTATATAAGTATGTATGTCAGTCTTTGATACCCATAACACAGGGAATCCTAATTTGGGACCGGATGTCCGTGCGTGATTTGTTACCAATTATTTATTTCTTATATAATTACATCGTATCAAGTGTACTATACGATTTACATTAAGTGTATTCTTAGGTGTGCGTGACCGAATACATACGCGCTGAATTTCTTGCACATACATATCGACGCTTGAAAGGCAAACATGACTAAGCGACAATGCGTGAACTTTACAGTAGACTAATTTAAAGTTGAAATACTTGAAAAAAATTATATTTTAACGAATCTAGCTGTAGGATTGAAATTATTTTTATAGACCTAGAAATATATATTTTTTGCGCATCGAATATGGTTATTGCCTATCATTTATGTACAAAGCAGTTATTGTCGCTTAGTCACGTTTGCCTTTCAAGCGTCGATATATACATTATATAACACATTTTTGTCGTGTCTCTTTTATAATTTTAATTTTAAATTTACTATTTTCAAAGAAATGCTGGAATTGCACTTCTTATGTAGATTGACAATTTATCGTAGGAATTAATTAAATTATTGATTAACTTCATTAAAATACACTGGTGAACAATAGATCTATTATTCATGTCTTTTTCTATTTCGTGTGTATATAATGAAGGTTTTTTTTTTTTGCAGTTGCAAAATTTTATACACGTACATTTAAAATTAAAATTACGTGGGATTATTTTTTTTAATGATTTTCTTTAACAAGAATGTCTTTAGTGAATAAATTATACTCCTTTTGTAGATAATCAATTTTAAAAGTAGGTTTTTAAATTAAGGACAGAGCTAGACACTTGGCTAGGAACCTGACAATGTTCCTGTCCTTATCCATGAGACATTGCAAACCATTATATACCTCAATTCCATTAAATAATTCAAGTGGTTTAAATACTTAATATTTAATTGACATGTAGACATATCGTCTTTTCGCATTAAAAGTGTACAATTTCCAAAAATATACGAAATTGAGTTAATATGCGGAATCATTTGGTGGTATCACCAGTATTTTTCTCATAAATTAAATACTGTCAAAAGAGCGTAGTTTAGTTTTATGTTTTTTTTTTTAGTTTACCTATATTTTGACTACTAGTAACAAAATTAATACATAATTTTATCTTACTTTAAAAGACAGATAATGTAACTGGTAAATAATAAAAAATAAATGCTGCAAAGATGATTAATATTAAAAATATCACATGTTAAACCTTTAAAACACTCTCCTGTAAAATTAGTAAGTTTTGAGATTACTAGATAATGACCGAGCTTTGCTCGGCTTTTTTTTTATATAGCGCCATCTTGTTGTGTCTTTAAAGCAGTAAAAATAGTATTATTATTCGCCAATAGATGTCGGGAAGAGTCATAAAGTTGATTATCGATAAAGTTGATTATTGAAAACACGAATAAAACATTTTCTGAAAATAAATTGTAGCTAGATCGATTTATCACCCCCGAAATCCCCTGTATACTAAATTTTATGAAAATCGTTGGAGCCGTTTCCGAGATTCAGATTATATATACAAGAATTGCTCGTTTAAAGGTATAAGATACAGTTTTAATGCGAGAAGACGATATCCAATGTAATCGATTTCAAAGACAATTAATTATCTCCTTCAACAAATGTTGGATGGTTCTTGACGTCAGTCCTAAAATTAGCTTGATTTTATCACATGTAATACAACTAACTGATAATTCTAGAAAAAAAACGACCAGTAAGCCAGCTTAAGAAATAAACTATTATTAAAATACAAATATGTATGTATCAACCTAACTTACCAAAGTGAATCTAATTTATACCATGTGAATGGTACTTTAGAATTCAGAAAATATTACTAAATCTTTCATTCCATTTTCTCGTGTACTATACCCGGAACCATAAATAATTTTATCACATTCTTAATTAAGAATATTAATGCCATCAAAACTAGCATAACTAGGCCCAAAAGGTCCAAATACATCTTTTGGTATAAAGGCACGTCCAATGCCGGAGATCGTAGATAAGTGGCTCCACGAGTGTGAATAACATGTTCGACCCAGTGTACCAGTTCTTTTCTAGGATTTACTGATCTATGGTGGAATATTGCTGACCACAGCTTGGCTTGTTCAAGATACCTGTCAATGAAAATTATTGTCAACATGTATCCTGGTCCTGCTATAGTCTAACGACATTTGAGAAGCTGATTCCGCGTGGACAAAAACTATTGTGAGTTTTTCACTTTATTTTGTGGTGGAAAATCTACCACTTTACAATTCAAGGAAGTCCTGGTTGCATATCCGTATCTATTAATTAAAAAAAAGGATTTTGTGGTTTTATGAAACCAAGGTAAAAGTGAAACTTTTTTTCACATTATAGACATTTAACTACAAATTTTTGGAATGATATTCCATTAAGGGTATAAAAATTGCTTTATCAATCTTAATTTTATACTTGGAAAATTGGAATGATAATGGGAAAGGATAAAAGTAGACTATGTCTCCAACATATATTTTTATTGAACCCGCCGCCATATTGGCCTTGGCTACTCTCACGAGCGCCTTTAACTTTATCCCTACTCCGCGGCCGACCGTCACGCGACATGCAACACACAGACGAAAAAGTTTGAGACGATGTAACCGAAAAGAATATAACCCTACTAAAACCGGCGCGCGTTTTCGCCCGCCTTAAATTAGTATTTTAAAATGAACGATCGTTGCACTATTTCGGAATAAAGAATTGCCTGTTCCTTTGCTAAATATGAACCTATGATATAATAACAACAAACAACATAGTAACCACATAAAATACATATGATGTCAACAAATGTCATTGTAACTAGACTATTAACGGTTAGGAAACTATAAACAATTAGCCGACTTTGGTTTTTGATCGAAGGCAAAAGTATTTAGCCGCAGAATTCTGTAATTCCAAAGGCATAGCCAAGTCGCGATTTTCTTCTTCTGGTCCTTATGCCACATTATGTGGGGTCGGAGCAGAATGTCTTCGTATCATACTGCATAGGAACTTGGCGAGAGCTTTACGACCGGCCTACTACCTGACTTCTACCCTCCTTGGGATTCTTCTAGGTACGCTATTATATCCATTGCAACGTGCCATAACGAACAGAGAATTAGTTGCTTCGTATTACAGATTACAATTTTTTAAACCTTTTTAAGATCATTACCAAATAGTGTACATCCTCATAGTTATAAATATGGTATCTGTTATCCGTTCACTCACCGTTTATTATGTAAAATTTCATTAATTGCAAGTTTTAAGTCACCCGGCAAATTGTAGGTGAGATCAACTTTCTTCGCGAAGCCCTTATTTGAAACCAGATTAACGTTCTTAAATTGATCAGCGAACACCGGAATTCCTATTAAAGGTACCCCGTGATGATATGCTTCGGTAATCGACAACAATCCTCCGTGGGTAATGAAGAGAATACAGTTTGAATGAGCTGTAAATATATAATAATTTCGCTTAAGGTCAATGCAGTGAAATATTCAGTGCGTCTTAGCCAAATAATCCTGTACACCAATTTCAACGTTACCACCGTCCGCAACGGCATTAATATTAATACACTGCTGGCCAGATCTGTGAAATATTGCTTTATTTTATTTTTTTTATTGCTCGAGCAGGCAGACGATCCTACGGCCCAACTAATGGTAAGTGGTTAGCGTCGCTCATGGACGTCAGCAATGCCAGGAGCAGAGCCAAGCCGCTGCCTATCGCTATTAGAAGGCACCATTACCTACCTAGGCTGCCGTTATTAAAATAAAGTTAGAAATTAAAACGTTCCTTTCCTAAAGAATGAACAATCTAACAATGTAACAGCACAACTCTGTTCTTTTCTAGAGACCTTTTTTTATGATACTAGATTATTAATAGGATTTTTAATTGAAACACATTTAACTCGTTCGGTCAATTCTATCAAAAAATCCGGTCAAATCAAGAATCGTGGCCACTTTGCAAAGAGATGGTCACTTGAATCCATGGCGTTATACGTATAATGTGACTATTCCTTTAGCTTACATAGGTGCATAGTCTTTTATGGTTACTCACTTACCTAAAATACTC